TGATTCGCCAAATTTTGGATATTTTCATCCATTGTTTTTGCAAATACATAAAAGAGCAATACTCTCTGAGTAAAACTAAGTGGTTTTTTGGAGATCAATACCTTAAATTACCATAAAAGTCATACACTTCAAGGTTTAGCTTATGAAAATTAAAAAAATGATTTTCAAAATTCAAATAATCATATCTTTATACATTCACAAGGTTTTATCTCGGGATTGTCATTTCTTATACCCTTCAGGTCTATACTTTCAAGAAAAGTACACATTTCAACACAAAAATGACTTCTATTTTTGACCCTTGGTGGGAAAAAAAGGAGCCCAGGATTGTAAAAATGCCCATAACTTCCATATAAATGGCCCGATCATGCTGATTTTCAAACTTGACCCGCGTATTATGAATAATCATCAGTTCTGTAAGTTTCAAGCCAAATGGTAAAACGGTTTTCCACTTATCGTGTTATCGGTGCTACATAAATGCTGAAAAAAGTGAAAAAACAGCATAACTTCCCCGAAAATGGCCCGATCATGCTGATTTTGAACTTGACCTGCGTATTATGAATATTCTGTAAGTTTCAAGCCAAAGGAAAAATCAGTTTTCCACTTATCATGTTATCGGTAAAAGTGCACGGCGACAGCGACGACAGACGCAGTGATGGCTATATGTACAGACACATCTGTGTCTGTACATAAAAAAAGAAAATTCCATTGCTTGCTACCCGTGACAGCAACCGTCATACTATCGATCCATCTTCAAGAACAGCTCGATGCAGTCGTTAGATTTTATAAATCTATGCAACTTGGGCAATTTGGCCTAGCATCGAGGCGCAACTAGCCTCTAGCCCTCTCTTAATTATTTCTGCTTACCAATGATCATCGGAAAATTAACAATAATATCTAAGCTTTCCAACTGAAACGCAGTTAACGCAAGTGTCAAGATGACATCAAGCTCTAGTCTTGCTAGCATGCCATATACTAATTTCAGCTTATCTGCAATTATTTCTTTGTGCATCAGTTAAAGTTAAATACCTTGATGTCGGCTTATCTGCAATTATCAGGTTAGGCATCATGAAAAGTTAACGATCTGATAATATCTCCCAGTTCCATCTCACCTGAGATCACGAAAGAGCTTATTATCAACATTTTGATTTTTCCGAATTATTCATTATGACTATAAGATATGAGCTGTACAATAAGCCCTAGCATTTTAAACGTAAATTTATGCTGGTATACCGCGAGGTACAGTTCTGGATGCATGTACGCACTTTCAAGGCCAACATAGTGCTTTTTTCTTCAACAATTATAGCAGAATTTTTCCTGACTCACCCAACTTTAGACATTTCCTCTAACAAAGCCTTTTTGGTTGCATCTATTTCTTGTTGTTGATGGTCCGATCGGCGTCCTGTAACACGACTGTTTTTGAACCATTTTTCGCTTGGCAAATCTGGACAAGACTGCCTGAGATGCTGCTATAATGTGCATATCCTAAAGCGCATCCCTAACACTTCCCCCGACAGCAATTGACGTGGCCACTCATTGCTTGAGTCATTAGGGCTTACTTGATTGCCTGTCAATCATTCTGGCAGTGCTAGCGGTAACCCCTTGAAGTTACTAACAGGAGGTGAGATTGATTCTTACATCCAAATGTATGCAAACAAGCTAATTTCAACTGGCAATAGAGTACCCATCTTCGCAATCGTCAGAATGATACGAGTAAAGCTGTCAACAATTTAATTTGCTATTTTGGACAATTAACTTCCCTGAAAGGGTTTTTGCTTGTTTTCTTCGCTTTCAATATTGACGAAGATAACATTATCGGAGAGAGCTATAACCTGTACACCTGAGGGAGACCAAATTCACCATGCTAATTAAGAAATGTATATGCACTAAAAGTGATTTTTAAGAAATTTTGATTGATCCTCTCTTTTCTAATTTATTGACTTTGAAAGTGAAAATTCCTTAATATTTTGATGTAATTTCACGTTTTTTATAGATAAAATCAACAATAAGTTTCTGAAGAAAAATCCCCGACTCCGTCCTGTAGTACTTTGTTCAAGTGTTATAATGCCATTAAAAGCATGTTTATAGCTGTCCAGGTGCTTGAGAAAATCAGGTGTATAAATATGGTGTTTTTGTCCCCAAAATCCCAATATTACGTCACACGATGAAGTTGGAGCTGTGTTCCAAGCATAATTAGATATTTTGAAGATACATTAAATGAATGTGACAGGAATAAAAAAGCTAAGACCTTTATTTTAAGAGAAAATCTCAAACCTACATTCCCACCTTAATTCTGTTAATTGGCTTCAATATCTCTGAATTGTTTTAGGATTCACTGTAATGTATTCTGTTAATTGGCTTCAATATCTCTGAATTGTTTTAGGATTCACTGTAATGTATTTTGTGTGTATCATGAGTATATAAGGAGAATAACTTTGTATCAGAGATCAGAGAGATTGGAGCTCAGAGCTCAGAGTGAGTTTGGTCAGTCAAACCAATAGCTAAATTAACCATGCCGTCTTAGGAGACTCAAGGGCCCAGTTTCATAAAGGACGTTTAGCACTAACCATGCAGTGTATAAGCCTAACCAGTGGATAAATTCTCCTAACACCCCTAAACTAAAAGATGGTTAAAAGTGTGTTTCATAAACAGTGTATTGACCCAAGTATTGACTGGGCTGGCTCGTTTTTACCTAACTGATGGAATTTTAAATTGTAACTTCTGTTAACCCCATAGAGCCTGACAGCACCTGACCTAGAAAGTGCCCCTGGTCCTGAGCCCTCTACCCGGATGCACTCAATTTTACAGGCGGCCTCATTTAATCAATGATAATGTATTTACTTGTCTATAAAAAACACCTAAGAACTGTACATTCTTAGAAAGCCAAGAATGTAAGCTTAAAATTTATATCAGTTTTGTTCACATTTGGTAACTTTGGTAGAAATTGCAGGAGTTTAAATATGAGACTTGCTTTTCTCGAAGAAAAGTAAAAAACAAAACTTTAATTTCAGCATGCACATTCTTTTTCACTTAGCTAAATAATTGGTTGAAATTTTCTCATAAACATCCAAAATATGTTTTAAACAATGTCAGAAAATTTCATAAAGATATCTTATTTAGTTTTTGAGTTATAATAAATTTCCTGGGATGCATGCTGTACCTAAAAACCTGCATCACATCAGAGAGTTGCACAATATATAGGCAGGCTAGCTGACTAGAAGACTTCCACCTTTTACTTTTATCATATTACAAATAGATTGTAAATTAAGTGCATTTTTCAATAGTTTTTCATAGTTTTTTTTAAATTTTTTTTTATTTATCAACTGAACCAGGATAATCATAAAATTTTGTTTTGCACTCAAATCATATACAAGAATACAAACATTGTCATCAGCAAATATTACACTTTCGTGGATAAAAATTGCATCATAAAAATACAAGTAAATGTGCCATTTGTACTAATACACAAGCAGGAAAAGACATGTTGATACAGCGCACTAGTAAACATATTACATCTGTATTTATACACAAGCAGGGAAAGACATATGTTGATGCAGCACACAAGTAAACATATGTCATTTGTACTTATACATAAGTAGGAAATGTGGGATCTTTGCCCCACGTCTTATGTTTTAAGATATTTGATCAAATCGCAAAATATATGTTAATTCAACAGAAAAAAATTAGGAAATTGCCTAATTTGCAATATATATCATATGTATTCCAACTTCAAATTACATTCAGAATATTACTTCTATCCGATGCTCTTTTTGTACACTAAGACCCCACTGCTACTTGGAATTGATGTCATATATGTTAATATAAAATCTGAAAATTGAATACAGTCTCAAACTAAATGCATTAGTCATAAATTATTACATAATATCAAGTTATGCTGAAATATAATTTCTTAAACCAAAAAAGTAATTGTTTTACGATGTTAAGGTTTATATATACATGCATAAGAAAGCTTAAAATTTGACCTTGATGAACCTTTTGACTTATTTCTAATGAGGCATTACTTTCTCACACTGTTTATTCTCCAATTTTGATTATAAGCTTATATAACACTATGCCAAGTGGCAAGTTTACAAATCATTCACCAAATGCCATGCAATTTCTTACTCAAATAATGTTAAAAAAAGAATAACTGTGCTGAAATGAGTTTATTTCCATTTTAACCTTTTTTTTTACATTAAACAACTTAGAAAATTGTTGACATAGGAAAAATATCAACAGAACAATTTTATAGGCTATTTGCTCCTTTCTGAGATCCTGAACATAGGAATGATTGAATCTGACAAAGTGCAATGATATGAGTTTATTTCCATTTGTAACACTATACATGATAACAGGTTTATCATCATTTTTATATTATCAAGTAACAATGTTGTTAAGATGCAAAAAATGTCAAAAGAACACTTTGACATATCTGATTAGTTCAATAATGAGACTGTTAACACGCCTTATAACTGAATCTGAGAAAAAGCCACTCATATACAAAAAAGGCATAACTTCATCAAAACTGAACCAAACTAAACCTGTATTTTAGTAAGATTGGTCATTCCTGTGAATTTCAAGATATGCCAATCGGTTTACCTGGAAATGTGTTGTCAGTGTTGCATAATACTGAAACATGGGACAAAATTGCATAACTTTTCTAAAAATGGTCTGATCATTTAACTAAGATTGATCACTTAATTCTGTGAGTTTCTGTCGGTTTACCTTGAAATGTGTTATTAGTGTTGCATATATGCTGAAAAAAGAGAAAAAACTTTAAAAAATGGCCCGTTCATGCTGATTTTGGAACTCAAGCAGCTTTTTATGAATATTCATTAGTTCTGCAAGTTTCAAGCCAAAAGGTAAAATCTTTTTCCACTATCATGTTATCGGTAAAAGTGCAAAGCAACAACAGCATCAACAGATGCAGGTGATGGCTATATGTACAGACACATATATTTGATTTACTATACTTGCAAATGCATTTTTTTTATAGCTCATACCTGTTATTCTCATCATGCAGTCTTGTATACAGCAATCACTGAAAATAGGAGTCCTTTAGTATAAAATGTTTGATGGCACAGCAGGCCAGCCCTAATAGACTTAATTAAAATTCATAGCAATATAGGGTCCTGGTCCTAAATAGTGCAAAATAATCCAGGGTGTATGATGAGTTCTTTGCACATAATTTTTTCTCATGAAGGGGGATCCATTAGTTGGATCATTTGAAGTTGCATTGGTTTGAGTTGTTTGTAAAAAAAAAATCATGTGTTTCATTCTTTTTAAAGTTAAAAATACTTTAATTTTCTATTCAGTTAAAGGAGACATACATGTAAGTACTTGCATGGGAAAGCTAGTTACAATGTTCCACCTATTAAGTTATTGGTTATAAGTATTTTCCTGGGGGAAGATTTGTATTGGGGATCGCTATACTTCCAAAAAATCCACTTATTTTTACTTAAAAATAAAGATTAAGTATTATAAAATATATAAATGAGCAGGTACGTATTACCGGCCAAGACTGTAGAGCAACACCAATCTAACTTCATTCATTTTCGGACATTTTCGGGGGGTACAGGTATATTTTTTGTTTGAATGTCTTAATTAAGGAGTCAGTCAATATTGACCAACAAAATATACACAGGTATACTGTAACTATATATAACTATATATAGAGCAGGGAGGAAACATATATACTGAGTTGCATGTCTGCTGACTGAAAATCTGCTTCGAAAACTAGAAAAAACCGAAAATTAGACATACATCCCTTGAAATCGGTGCAGGGAAGTACCAGTATAGGGATGTAGCCATTCAGCACAATCTGACCAGCACTCTCACCTTTTTAAATTTTATCGCCAGATTTAGGCGATTTGAGAAAACTTAAAAACAAAACAAAACAAAACAAAATCCAAAACTCTGGAACACTTTCGTGCATTCACGTATCATATATAAGATATATTAAATATTCTAAAAACTGAAAAATGACGAAATTTTGCTATCCCTGTGGCTTAACGAAACTTACCTTTTCATCGTTTCTGGCATGATCCTTCTGTACACTTTCACACTTGCTGAACAACAGCTA